TGGAAGCCAGTGCAGGGATTGACAGAGGGAGGTGGTGGAATGGAAGCCAGTGCAGGGATTGACAGAGGGAGGTGGTGGAATGGAAGCCAGTGCAGGGATCGGCAAAGGGAGGTTGCAGACACTGAACGGTTGGTCAAGTGGATGAGTCTGGCAGCTGCATTCATGATAGACTGAAGGGGGAGGAGCCTGTGTAGAGGTTGGCTAATGAGGAGGGAGTTGCAATAGTCAAGACGAGAGATAACAAGGGAGTGGATGAGTAGTTTTGCGGTTTCATTGCTGAGGAAGGGGCGTATTTTGGAGATGTTACGAAGGTGAAGGCGCCAGGATTTGGATAGGGATTTGATGTGGGGAAGAAAGGTGAGGTCCGAGTCAAGGATGACACCTAGCACCTTGGCATGGGGGAAGTGGTGGATGGTTGTGTTAAGCGGATATTGGAGATGTTACGAAGGTGAAGGCGCCAGGATTTGGATAGGGATTTGATGTGGGGAAGAAAGGTGAGGTCCGAGTCAAGGATGACACCTAGCACCTTGGCATGGGGGAAGTGGTGGATGGTTGTGTTATCAATCTCACCTGAAAAGTTGGGGGAAGGTGAACGGGGTGGAGGAAATATCATGAGCTCAGTTTTGGAAAGGTTGAGTTTTAAGTAGTGTTGTGACATCCAGACGGATATGTCAGTGAGTAAATTAGTGACACGAGAGGACACTGAGGGGGAGAGTTGCGGAGTGGAAAGATAGATTTGAGTGTCATCGGCATAGAGATGGTATTGGAAGCCATGTGAGCTTATTAACTGACCAAGGGAGGAGGTGTAGATGGAGAGGAGAAGGGGTCCAAGGACAGAGCCTTGGGGGACCCCTACAGAAAGAGGAGTTAGATCTGTAGGTGACACTAAAAGGAGCGCTTAGATAGGTAGGAGGAGAACCATCATCTACTTTAATGTAATAATAGCATTTAAATGAACTGGAAAAGCACAGGAGGAAAATCCTTTCAACGACAAGTTTATTTTCAGCAGGCAATAACACATACACACTTAAATAAATAAATGGCAGCAGGGAGCTGCCTTGATACAGCGGCAGCGGAACGGCTGACTGCGTTAGCCTGCATCTGATGTATGTATATACTGAAGCAGAGGCTTGTTCTGTTTGGGTCCGCCTGTCCCCCATGTGTGAGACCTACGATTTGACGCTCTGCCCGTGCATGTCCACTGATTGTTTCCTAATGTGATTTCCTCCTATACTGAGTTCCTGAAGAAGCGCATCAAGCGTGAAACGCGTAGAACTTATACCACTCCAGCTACCAACATCTTCCCATCTATGACTATTGACAGACACTATGTGGTCAACTCTATTAGTCTGTTGGAGTAAAAGTGGTATTTGGAGGTTTAATCCAATGTATCAAAACAAGCAGAATATGAATGTTACATGGTTACAATTTCTATATTTTTATTACCAATTTTAATCACGTTCTAATAAAAAAAAAAAAAAAAAAA